GACAAGTTCGTAATTTTTTTTTTGCTGGATGCTTTTCAGACTGTCTTCGGGTGAATTAGAAGACGAAAATGAAAATCCAAGACCACTTCCAAAAAGTGGTATAAACCCCGTGGAATCACCCTAAAACTATTATTCAATAAAACAGAGTCAACTTACTATATTACGAGATATATATAATGGAGATGTGATATAATGTATTTGAACGATAAACGTGGCTAGTTGGTTTAGACGATCATCAAGTAAACAGAGGCAATCATCAAAAACAAACACATTAATACTTAATACAGTAAGAGTCGTAGAGAAATAGGTTGTTGATGGAAGATTATGAAGTAACAAAGCCGGATATTCATTCACAGATGAAGAAACAATTGTCAACTGCTCTAGATTTTCGAAGAAAACCATAATATGTGCATAGAAATTTCTAGCATAAGTCTTCAACGATATTTTATTAGTATGTTCATCATTATTATGAAGAATAAGATCTGTTATTTGATATTTGGAAATATGTCGAAAGACTGAATCATCTATATGAAAACAAAAAAGGAAATAATAATGCAATGAACTGTTTTTGTATGTCGGACTGTTGATAACTAAGAACATGTCAAATGTTTACCTGTAAAATAACGAAAAATTGTGTCTTGGCCACAATTGAAGAGTTCTAAAGAAGTTAAATTCGGATAATCACTAGCAACAAGAATGCGTTCCATAGATGCTGTTTCGAGAATAAGCTTTTTAAGACAACGATGAATTTGAGGTAATATAGAGGTACAAAATCGATCAAGTTTATCATCAGTAATTGAAGATACTCTTTCAAAATTGAGAGTATTAGTAAATACATCATCTTGTACTAAAATATCAAGTCGTTCATTATTAATCCCAAACAATGAATAAAGAACATCAACATTGTCGAGTTTTTTCAATATGATAATCAATATTTCATTAGGCAGATCAAGAAGATGAATGTCTAACTGGTTCATATTTGCTTATAACTGTCCCTTTCTGAAAATGCACATATACATATATATACGTCATGGCCGAAGTTAGAATTCAGCCCAATTCAGAATTCGTTCAGACGAAATAAGAATTCTAATTTCGACTAGACGAAATTGGAATATTATTTTAATGAATCACAGAATTTGAAGAAATATCAACAATTAGAACACGAGAGGGTCACGAACGACAGCGAGGGTAGGGAAAAAGTCTTGGCGACAATGAGGGAGTCTGGACAAGGGTGAATATATGAGCGAGATTCCAGTTTTTCGGGATTTTTCACCTTCCTTTCATCCTCTTGTCTCACCCTCATTATTATTCGTGACCCCCTTGTGATCTAACTGTTGGTATTTCTTTAAGTTCTGTGAATTATTAAAATAATATTCCAATTTCGTCTGGACGAATTCTGAATTGGACTGAATTCTAACTTCGGTCATAACATATATATATATATGCGCGTTTTTTAATTCTGACCTTGTTCGGCAGCGATGAATAGAATGTATGACAGTGATGCGAAACAAAAAAGGTGTTATCGATCAATATATTGTCGACTATGGTCACATCAACAGATTCCGACGTTTTTTCAACATTTATTTATTTTGTTGCGGTCACTCCACAAGTTGTTCATTCATGCAAAAATAAATTATGTCATGCTAAGCAAGGAGAAATAAGCATGTCTAGTAGACAAAACAAGATGGACTGAATTCTTCTCATGTAATTCTTTCATAAGAAATAAATAGTTACTTTGTGTACCTTAACGAAATTGATTAATGACAAAGATATGTTAACATAAACTATGTACTATTTTCTGTACTAAAAACATCTTTCAGTTTGTAAAACAAAAAACCTACTTGAATATTAAAATAAGTTTTACAAAAATATTTCGATTATTATTAAGCATCTATATTTATAATTGTATCGAAATAAGATATTTCTTCTCGAAGATGCATCAGAGTTTTTATCGACTTCAAATGAATAAAATGAAACTTATAGTGCTTGTAAGATTTGTGTAAGTAAGCATAGTTTTAGTTTCAAAAGAAAATTTGAAAGCCTTGGCAAGGGGTTCGAATTCTTTAAAAACTAGATAGATTCTCTTAGCCGCATTGATCTTTATGTCCTTTCTCTCGTTCTTTCAAAAAAACAAACAGAGAAGTCTCATAATTTCACCATAGATACTAATCTTTGTAGTGACTATTTCTTGTCTTTTGGTCTCAAATGGTTCTATGAAGGTCGATGGTGTCAGTGTGGGATATGAGTACTCTTAACTCTCTTATTCCACACTTATACCCACAGCAACACTTAAAACTGGCAAGTAACGGTTCCTACCTGCCTCCCCCCCCCCCCCAATCCTTACTGGCTATATACAAGAAACGCTAACCCTCGTAAGTGTTCCTTTGTCCATGAACTGTACAGTTCAGTCGGTAGTCAGATCTCAGTCGTGTGAAAAGAGCTAGTTCATAGATCCCCTCAGAAAAGAAGAGCAGCTAAAAAGATGCTGCTCAGAAAAAGAACCTGGTCAAGAGACTAGCTCATAGAGAAACGAGCTGATCATCATTAATTTGAGCCAGTTCAGTGAGCTATGAGTTGTCATGTATTTAACACAGACACATGCAGACATTGACGGAAGGCGTATTACAGCAGCCACTTATTTCATTAAATATCATTGCGTTAATTATTTCCTTTAAAGATCTTCGATATATAGAGTGTTGGTGGTTGTGATGTGATGTAATGTGAGAGGTGGCTGTTAGTATATTGTTTTAGTAGGACTCTCACACCCTCAAGAATCCTAAAAATTCAAGAGTCCCACATGTTTACTACGATTCACTCGAATTTCATAGAACTCTCTTGAGCTCGATAGGACTCTCTTCAATCTTATGAAGATTCTCGGTAAGAACCTAACATTCTATGAAAAATTACCATTTGTGTCAGAACAGCTTTCATGCTGGTATCAATTTTTTCTGTTTCCTCATTCACTCATGACTACCGATCTATTTACATATCGATGACTCGTTAACTACGTGTTAGTTAAGTTCTGGTTCTTAGAATGGTCTTATTTTCCGTTAATCTGTCAATAAATTCAGATCGATTTATTCTAATAGAGTTCTAAGCACATCGTAGGAACAATGAGTTTCTTTTATTAATGGCTAAGTTTTAATATGCTTTGATACTAATGATTATGTAGTTAATGCACGCTGATGCGGATAAAGAGAAGAATCATGCATCCCTCTTCTTTGCATTCCAACATGTACCACAACTATATTTCTCTGTCAGTGATAAGCTTTTCATTTAATAACTTATATGCAAATTTATTTTTTCTTTTTACTGGTTTTAAATATATGAAATTGTTTTCAAGTATATTCAAAGGTTTGTTGTAGTGTTTTCTGATGCTTTTGAGTTATATCCTATTCTGGTTTATCTTTAATAACAATCATCTAAAATACACATTACAAGAGATGAATATGTCTTGTCAAGATTGAAAGCGTGAATTTCTAAATGAGCATACTATTAATAGATGTTATTAGAAATATTCAATAAATTATTCACATATGGCAACAGATTTTTCTCTAATAACAATACATTTATGGGCGTAAAACTTCAAGACTCTATCGACTTGCGATTCCGAAAAATTCCTTATAATCTCTTAGGATTCTTTGATTCCTGAATACTTCTATTCATCTATCGTCCTACATTCATTTTCTTGAATTATTGTCAAACCGGTATTTCTCGTACATCCTCAATCGTTCTTATCTATTTGATGAAGTAAACAAAACTGATATTTACTCGAGCAACATTAAATCGCTTTCCAAAATTCAGCTTTCCTTCTTCAACTAATTTGATACCAACGAGACTTATTGAACGCAATGATTAGAAATGATCATGGTTTATTTAGCTTTTAATCGAGTCTTATGGACTACAGAACAAGACGTGATACGATGAATTTTAAAGGTACCAACATTCTAATCTCATAAAAATTTCAAATACAGTCTTCGCTTCATTATGTATTCCAATCTCCAAGTCTTCAGAAAAGTAATCACAACAAAATTTGTTTTTTTCTACGAATTCATTGAGTTCATGGTGAGGTTGTGAGTGTGATATTCTCTTCAATCACAACTACTCCCACACCCACACTGTTTAAAAGCTTTTATCTACGGCAAATCATCAACTAAGCATGCAACAGTATCGTTTTACTCGTTTCTTTTTATCATCAAGCAGTTATCATATAGTTATGAGATAACTTACGATGTTGTCAAACATTTAATGTTCTGACAAAACAAGTTTCTTTCTTTTCTGCACTTTAGTTTCTTTTTGTTTCGTGCTTCTATTCGTTTGCATCATATAAAGGTGTGATATCAATATATCAATGGATATAAAAGGGCCGAAGTACGCAAACAATCATGGATATTTATTACCGTTTGATATTCCATGTGATAGATTTGATTCTGCTTTGGAATTTCATCCTAAATCGAACACGATTTTAATTTGTACCTACCCGAAATGTGGAACAACATGGATGCAAAATATTGTATATTTACTACGACATGATGGGGAACCATTTTCATCTCATTTAAATGTTGATGACGAAATACCACACTTGGAATTTAAGGGTAGCACACATTGCGAGAATTATGTCGTAGTGAAAACCCATTTACCACTAAATTTGTTGCATTGGAATGAGCAAGCTAAGTATATCATAGTGGCACGGAACCCCAAAGATTGTTGTGCTTCCTTCTTTCATCATACACGTGGCTTTGTAAAACACTATGATTATGCACATGGCACATTTGATGACTACTTTCAACGTTTTCTCAATGGACAGGTTGATGGTGGCGATTATTTCGATTATTTTGCGTCATGGCAATCTCGACTCAACGATCGAAATGTTTTCTTCTGTACGTATGAACAACTCATATGTGATACAAAAGAAATTGTGAAACGACTCGCTTTATTCCTCGAAATTAAAATTGATGATAATATTTTGGAAAAAGTGCTTCACCACTCTTCGTTTCAATCGATGAAAAAAGATCTTCATCGCTGGAGCAGTGAGCGCCCTAAAGATATGCCAGAATTTATTAGAAGAGGTGAGATTGGTGACTGGCGCAATCATTTTAATGAAGAACAATCCAAACTTATCGACATGAAAGTTGAACAGTTCCCTTTAATGAAGACACTTTGGGCAAAGTATATGTAATACATTTAATCTGATTTCATACTCAGTCTCGCTTGCTATCATTGAAATAAGAAAATAAATTAATGATTATCGTCCCTGAATATAAAACTTGCGCTTCATATCGAGTGTTTGCGGGTGATTGGTTTGGACTAACGAGTAGCAATGTATTGATTGATATTGGACTCTGATCTGAAAATTTCTGACTTTGGATTTTGTGTTTCCATTCATTTTTGAATTTAAAGTTTTCAATCTTCTCCTTCTGATTTCTTAGCAGAAAACAATGCTTTTGAGTTCTTGATTCAATTTCGAAAGATAGATCGCGGTAGTTGACTTTAGATAAGTTTGAATATTGAGGAGCGAACATTTGCAAATAGTGCATTGTCATCGCATGCACTTGTTGGGACTGGTCTATTAATATGTATGCGCTGAATGTTTCGCATATGGGTCGCTATGACTTGAATAAAAAGCATTTCTTGGTAGAAATGCACTCAATAGCTTATATTGACACCGATTCAACACAAATAACTCATAATAGACTGAGCAATCGAGAAAGGTTTCTTACAAGGTCGAATGATTTTGAGGATGTAATAGTTGGAAAGATTTTTCAGCTCGTTTCTAGTACAAATCTGTTTTCAACCATAAAATGATAACGCTTTCAAATATTCTTCCATCTCCTGATGATTTTCAGTAGACGCTTTTTGTATATTTCTGATGCGTTTCCATAGGATGAAAGGACTTATCAGTATGAGTATGGGTGTGGAATGCTGCTCTGTTCACTAATGCCAATACCCTGAAGATACACCCACACCCAAATATCCAAGCCTATTAAGTTCAATATCAGCTAAAGGATTTTATATACATGCTCTTAATAAATGAACAATTCTACTAAAATTCGAATCCGAATGTCTAAAATTTCATCGAATTCAAGAATATTTGCAGATTTGAAACGCCTAATGAAATGTATAGTGCAATACTCGGGAAATCGAACTACACAACATTATAGAGCCGAATTCAATGATAATAGAGACCTACGCGTGAGCTTTTGACAATCCTTATCTGATTGAGTATTGAACATCTTTCAACAAAATATAGCTAAAGACTGAATGAATTGCATTGATTAGTAACAATAATTCTAGATCAATACAATTACAACAATAAAATGTGAAACAATTTGTTGAATATTGTCACGGAGGAAACATATTCTCACCCACAAGGCAAAACATCTGTTATCTTTTATGAATTATATGTTAAATTTTGTAGTAAGAAGTACACAAGTGTTGAAAAATGTTTATTTAAAACTTTAGAAATTAAAATATTCGAAAGTTGACATGTAATATTTTCAAAGACTCATAATAGCGTTTCAGTTGATTGAAGACAACTCGACATTATAAATTGTTGAACAATTCGGTCACATAAAATATCATTTCGACTTTGAAATTTAAAGATTTAGAATAGTTTTAATTATCTAAATGAATCCATAAATTGTATATATTTACATCCATTTTGTTAATATTTCAGAATTACTAATTTCTAAATTAGCAATATATTTTAGTATTCGAATTTGAAAAAATCTATTATAATTATTTGATATTAATGCCGCTAAAATTAAATTTGATTCATCAATAGCTGAAAGTATTTGAAATATTTCTTGTTCACATAATAAAATTTTCCCATGATTTATAAATTCTCTCTAACGTTATTGAAATTCAATTGACAAGAGTTTTGATTGAATATCACATTTATTTTTTGTTCTGATGTTTTTCATATATATATCTAATATCTTCATGCTATTTTATTACTGAAACATTCATAACATGTTTTTATGAGAGTATAAGTGTGGATGTAGAAATGACTAACATTTACAACTTATACATTAATTATTATTTAGTATTAGTGTAAAATAAAAGACGAAGATATTTTTTATTTCTTTCTATAATACTAAGCATTAAACTCAATCTAAATAATAGTTACTTCAAATAGAAAATGAAGTTTTCTATAGAATTCATGCCATACAAAAATTTCATTCGTGAACTATGAGAGAAAGACTTCTGAAAAATGAAACATGATCATTTCGATGTCTCAAAAAAAAACCTATGTGCCACTAATGTACGTTAAAGAATGTTACCCCATAAGGCAAAATATCCTGAATAAAATTAGGAGTCACATTATTTCTTACGACCTGCACCTTGAAAAAGTTATAAGCATCACAAAAAAAAACTACACTTTCTAGTCAATTTCTAGCAATACTCGTAGGAAATGCGGTGATATATCATTCTATTTAGAATTTTTTGCTTTTGTAAGATGTTTCTCTTAAAAGATTCAGTCTCACATAATCTGGAAAAACTTGAAAAACACGTTATCCGACTTTTCAACAACTTCTCTTTCATATTTCATATAAAAAATTTCGACTACAGAATGCATCTGACAAACAATTTCATTGGCTATGAAAAACATTATACGAGGCCTCTCTGTTTATTCTAAATCGTATAATTCACAACTTGAGTACTTCATGATATTTTGTTTAGAAAAATAAAACGTCATGTTGCACGTTGCGTCAAACTCTATACTAAATAGATGTGTGCCCAAGCTGTACATGTAACCATGATGTTTCTTTTTTTCTTTATAATTCAATTTTGTTATCGTAAAAAAAGTTCATTGTTCTATCTGGTAACTATAAATAAATTAAAATAGAGGAACAACAAAAAAGAGAAAAATGTTTTTTTTTTACTTCTTGTATTACAACACAGAGAGAAAATGACAGAATGGAGAAAAAAGTGACATTTTCAATAAATACAAGAATTAAAACGTATGTCACTATGCTATATAAAAAGTTTATACAATTTACGTTTATTCTCAAACACAATTTTTTGCCTGTTCAAATCGTAAGTAATTCTATTCAACATTGATTCTTCGTTGTACGTCTTCACTTTTAATGATTATGAATCAATCATCTTTTACATGGATATACTCTCGATTGAACACCTATTAATAAATTTAGATTAGATTTTTACATATAGACCTCCTAGGTTTTATTATTTTTTGTCATAATCAATAAAATATGATATGTATATGAGATTATCGATAATTTGAGCAATCAGATAGATTCTAAATTATAGTAGATTGTCTCAAAAACGTAATAATTATAAATCAAGATATTTTTTTTTCAAATTATACAAGCTATGAAATTATATTAAAACATGATATAATGCATTTTTGGTCATAATCTCAGTCAAATATTGACACAGCTATTCAGAAATATTTTTGAATATAATGCAAAAAATTTTAAGTCCGTATTGCTCACATGAGATCACCTTACGAAAGTGTCATTAATTTTCGCGTTGTTGTAATCAAAATCATTTTTCGAAGACAAAAAAAAAAAAAGAATTGTTTATATAGAACGATATGTTTCATTTTATTTAATAGGTTTTGAAAGGCATATGTACTGTTGAAATCTCTCTGTCGGTATTGTAATTTTTTCAACACATTTGAAGAGTCATATAAAACGTGTTTCAGGCTTTTTTTTTTCTCCTTTGTTATTAACAATCAAATCAAGTATATTTATAGATTGTCATATTTCAACTGACTTACTTTTTGAAATTATGTAACGTTTGCTTTAATAAATAACATCGCATAATTAGATCAATCATCAGATGTCATATAGTTTGCCCGATGTAGAAACGGTTAGAAGATCTGCACCATTAAAGCAGACATGGAATCGGTAACAGTTCCCAGCTGGTCTGATACATCTCTGATGTAATACTATTATCAGTAGCGATAACGAACATTAATGAAACTCTAGTACACATGGAAAAAAATATCAAAAACGAAAGTGATAAAATAGCTATGAAAACAAAATACTAATTGTGTAATATAATCAAAAATAATCATATACTAATGTCCATTTAAAAAAAAAAGAGCAGGTGGAATTTTTTTTTATTAACTTTTGATAGAAACATTCTCTCGATCAATTTTTCGACATTTTTGCTATAAATTTCATTATTTTAAATGAAATCTCGATTATACATTCACGTTTATTTAAGTCGCTCTGAAAATGAAATCAAGATATCTATTAATAACAAAGAAAATTTTCTTTTCAATATATTTTTATATAATACAGGTCATGATGTTTTATTGATATGTTCAAAATATTCTTTTATATAAATCAGTCAATAGTATAACAATAGAAGATCCTTTTTTATTTTGTATGATAGCTATAATAATTTAGTCATAATCGATCAGGTTTCATTTAAACTACAACGAAATACGTACGAGGCAATGGAAACAAATCTATTTGCCTGAATTTAGATTTTTCATTGTCTGTTTTTACTTTTTCCAACATTATTTTCATTTTTTCCAACGTAATTTTTATGTCATTGCAAAAACATGTCAATACTCTTCTAGAGCGTTTTTCGTTCTGTGATTACGATAAAATTCTTTTCTTTTTACTTGTTTTAATAGAATAAGATTATCCTTTATAAAAAATACATTTGTTTGTGACGAAGAAGAAAGAAAGAGAACGAACATGAATAAAATCTATTATTATAGCAAACTATAAAAATAGACGAAAAAGAAGTAAGAGACATTTATTATTGATAGGAAAAAAAATAATGAAACAATTTAAACAATGTGTCTTCGTTGTTAGAATGCGAAATGACGTATAGTTCATTTTATGAATACATAGGACAATATTGAGAGCAAAAAGAGTTGTATATAAATTGAAAAATAATTCAAAAACTTTGAATCATTAAAGAAAAAAAAGAATAATTAGCCAATTGTTTCTTTTTTAATTTGTAAAAAATACTTTTTTTCAAATTTTTGTATTTGTTTTCTTTCCAGATAAGAAAAAAATATCTAAATTATCTGGTCAATGTCAAGATGAGTTATGTTTAAAACAATCCAATCGTAAATCAATACGTATATATCAATGTTCATATCATTGTAATCAAATATTATGCATGAAACATTTACTTGAATATGATCAATATATTGAAAAACGTACTCAATATCGAAATGAATTGGAA